TACTATAGACCTCAGTGCAAACGCCTCGTGTTGTTCATCAAGAGATTTGGGAATACAAAAGCGGAACAGTAAAGTAAAATGGGAAGAACTTATCAGTCCATAAATTTGGCAAATATTCTTTGTCGGGTTTGGAATTCAACGAGTTTTGGGTATCAGTAGAGAAAAAGTTCTTAAATTTTCCAACAAGGGATTGAAAATTGTTGTTTATTATTTATTTCTCCTACCTTACTCGATATAAAAAGTTTTTCGTTCATTTTTAGCATCATCCAAAGGGCAAGGAGTAAGTGAAAGACTGAAAAAAAAACATTTTATTGGATTTACGAAAAGCTGTAAAGTTGAGTCAAATTATTGGACAACATATGTAGATTCAGAAGACGGGAAATGAACTTGCGGGAGAGTTGACTGGTAAATTGTTTATCTGGGTAGAAAAAAGATGTGGTAAGCATAGGACCTTGCCACACCTCAGAATTGTTGGTCAAATGTTTGTTACCTGGCCTGAGAGCTGAGGTAACCGTAGGACAGACCCACCAGTTTGTTTTATTCGTCCGGCTGGTCCATCCGGACACAATTTCCAACATCAACCATCAAGCTATTCCAAGAAGGATTGTTACGCTACAATGTGTTTTTGACTGTTACATTTCACTGTGTATTTCAATCCTGTGAATCTCCGATTTATTGCAGCAGAATTTTCCGTATCAGTAACAGAGTACTCGGTTTACTATTTAGAGCTGCATAAAGTATTCATATCTGATTTCGCCAGTCATACGGTGATGTGATCTAGAAATCTTCTATATCTTGTGTATGGTACTGAATTTAACGAATTAAAACGGATGTAACTGTCAATCAACCTTCCTAACTGACGGTTTTCAATATTGAACAGTCAGAACCCAAAGCAGCTAAGTCTTCCAATAGCAATGAAAAGCTTCTCTCAGATGTCCTCCTTTGATCAACGTATATCATTATTTCACTTATTTTTCGTTCCACAAAATGATATGGATCATTTCTACCCCCCATTATTAGTGTATTCGTGCTGTACACAGTCAACATGTTTAAGTCTTAAAATCATAAATTCATTATATCTGGTTTGGGAAGTAAATTTTGACATTACCTTTAAAAAAGGTGCACTTTCTGTAGTCAAACTGAATGCTAGATTTCTCGGTGACATGAATGAACTTCCATGTTCCATATTATCACCACATATCAGTATAATCGAACTCATGTCTCTCCTTTTCACAGATGGTTAAACCGGTGAAATGTGAGGGCCACGTCGAGCATTGGCTTCATGTACTGCTCAAAGTCGGGCAAGCCTCGCTACACACATTGATACGCAAAGCATACTATGAGATAGTGGATCCATCGCTTGATCTGACCGAGTTCTTCGACAATCAGTTGGCTCAAATAGGCATATTGGGCATTCAGATTTTGTGGACCAGTGATGCGACCGATGCACTGAATGCGGCTCGATCTGATCCGAAAATTATGAGCAAAACGAATAAACACTTTTTGGAAATTCTGAACAAACTGATCGGTGAGACCACACGGGAATTGACAAAAACAATGCGAACGAAATACGAGACACTGATCACCATCCACGTGCATCAACGTGACATATTCGATGATTTGGTAAGTTTTCGCAGAGTCATCTACATCGAACGGCAACCAGTCTCCAACAGCACAAATAAACTCTATTGTTACCGGGGTAAAATTATCACAACTTATGACTTCACTTTATGATTAATAGGGTTGCATTTGGAATAAAGGAGATGCGAAGTGAAAAGATAGGTAGCATTGTGCAATTATTTTGATTTATTTGTATTGCAAACGCATTGATTCAAATGAGGATCGAACCTAGGAGCTGACACTCAGAACACAGGTATAGCGTTCAGTTCACTTGCCTACAGATGACATAATTAGACCAGATGCAAACTAGATAGGCCATAGTGGCTGTTAGTAAAGGGACTTCCATATACACTCACTCAGATAAAGTATAGAAAGTAAAATCTCGATGGGAGATATTCTCGTACTCACTCAGATACGCACATGAATAAGTTTATCACTTATCCAATTTTGTCATATTCAGCCCCGGACTTCTGTATGTTGACCACTTTCCTGGATTGATTTCATTTGGGGTTTGGAGAGGTTGTTCTGATTCCAACTAAACAGAGAGAGGCCGGCTTTCGCTAACTTCTATGACTAAGCGAACTAACCCGTGGTCAAACTTCAGGCGCTGAAATCGTGCCAGTGTTCTCGCTTGTGTAACGCGTTTGATTTATACGATAGTTGGTATGCGAATTCAGTTTCCTTTTTTTCTTTGTGTCACAGAATGGGTTCTCTTTGTCATGAACGGGACATTATCCAGGTAGTACAACATTTTTTAATTACAACAACTCTTTAGCCTAAATTTTAAAAAAATAATCCAACATCTTTTCACTCTTACCCTATATTAAGTAGAATTGTTACCACTTATTAAATATTTGTGCTATGATACAATTAGCTTCACAGTTTTAAATCAAATCAAACCGATGAAGTTAATCAATGAATTGTGCTTCCCATATTACACTACTTGGTAGTAGTCAAGCACTATTTCCATCAAAAGGATAGCGTAATCGTTTCTCTGTCCCTTGTTTCCTTGTTCCCGCATCAACTGCGATGAATTTATTCTGTTCCAGTGCAAACAAGGTATCAAATCCACCATTGATTTTGAATGGACCAAACAAACTCGAACTTATTTTATGGAGAAAGTGGACAAATGTGTGATTTCAATCACAGATGTGGATTTTGTCTATCAGAATGAGTTCCTGGGTTGCACGGAACGGCTGGTGATCACTCCGCTGACCGATCGATGCTATATCACATTGGCTCAGGCGTTAAATATGAGTCTCGGTGGTGCACCTGCTGGTCCGGCTGGTACCGGAAAAACGGAAACGACCAAGGTGAGAATGCGTTACATGGTCCGGCCAGGCCTATGCCCAACTGTATGAATCCGTCGTGGATAATCGTGCAAGCTACGCTTATATGATAATAGACTTACTCGATAATCGTTGTTTACGCAATAATGCAAATATTCGACTTTCGTAAATAGTAAGAGTTGGATTAGATGCTACGCGCGTCGTCGGACAGATCTCTTTTATTTGTCACACTTCTCGAGGCATGCATGTTTTCGAAACTGATTAGTAGTGTTCTGACTGTGTTTTGAAGTTGGGGTATAAGGATCTTGATCAGTGGACACTGCCATACAAGTTTTATTAGGCTTCCAGATTTAAAAAATCTAGATCAGTCCAAACAAAGACTGACGATTTTAGACGATACATGAAGGTAACGTAACTAATGGTAGTCTTGCATTTATCTTCCCAGTATTCTAGTGACAAAACAACTAGCTTATTATCTATCGTTGTGGACAACCGACCTTGGCGGGGCCTTCAAATTCGGTCGTGCTGTTGCTTTCCGTTCGATCATTGTCACATAGTCACTGACATTCCCGTTGTTTCTATACATCAATTAATTTTGTGGGTCGTTTCCATAGGAATATTGTGCAATTACGATGACGCCGGTCGCGATATTTCATAATGCCTTCATGATAAGCATCAAGAACTCTAATTTACCTCCTGAAGTACTTGAATTCGGAAAGTCAGTGAGAAATAAATACAAAAGGATTCGCAGAAAATCTCGCGGGCATTGGAGGAAGCATCGTGGTGGTTGGAGAGTAGCACTGCGTCAAAGAACTTTGTCACAA